ACTCTTTAAGTAAAACAATTTCACCCTCCCTGCAGACAATGAGGAAATCAGAGTCCAGAATCTATTTCAACTTAGTAAACATTTAATGAATCTATATTTCGTTTTGGATACGGGGGTAAAGTTCTGGAAATGCAAAAGGAATTTGCATCTCTGAACTTAAGGAGTTCACAGTCTTGAACAGGACAATCCAAGTTGTACTGTAAAGAAATAGTATGATCGAGAACTGGGAAGGGAAACAGCCTTTGGATAGATACGCAGTCTGGTTAAATGGAAGATGGGTTTTGAGGGAGGAAGAAGTTTAATGAGGAAAGCCAATTGGGAAGCAATCTCTGTGCTACAGAAAAAAAAAAAAAAAAAAAAGTTGCTAAGAACCTGAATGAAGGGTGGCAGTGAGGTGGAAAGCAGGGCCCCACTGATGGGTTGCAGGTCATGAAAAGGCATAACAAACCTCTGTGGCTCCTTCTGGGCAGCTGTGTGCATGCTGTTAACCAAGCAAAGCAAAGCAGGAGAAAAAGGTGTTTGCACTTGCTTTTAGAGAGGAAGATGCCCATTAGACTGGATATAAGGGACTGGAGTGCAGAAGAAATATCCAGCAAAAACGATGGCTTTAGGAAATATCTGTGTGTTCAGATGCCATCCCATAGATGAGATTTCCTGTAGAGAGTAAGCACATAGTTGAGAACGGGAAAGTGCAAAGGACAAATCTCTTTGGAACATGATCACTTTACGGATGGGAAAAAGATTTAGTCTCCGATGGAGAATAAGGATGAGAGTGGTCAAGAGAAGAGGGAGAACTAAAAAGTGGTATCGTGGAGGTCAGAAGAAGACAGTTTCAAGGAAGCTTGGGGTGGGGATCAAGGCTAGAGGCTGCTGCAGTCAAGGTTCCCTCAGATAGGGCTCATGATCCCAAATGCTGGTTTCCAATCCTGATTAGAGCCACAGCTGGTGTTGCACCTGCATTTCACTTGACTAAATTCTGTCCTAATTCTGGACCTGAAGACAAAAGGCCTGAATTCTTGTCTCAGCTCTAAGACTTTCTTGCCAGGTGACCTGGCAAATCATTAACTTCTTGAGGCTCATTTTTTCTTTTGTAAAGTAAAAGGGTTGGATGGTAATTGTTTAAAGTTCCTTCTGGCTTTCAAGTTCTGGGCCCTAACTGTTTTGGCATTTTGCCAAGCTCTAGCTGCACTGCTAACTGCCAGCCACTGGAGACTCATCATCCAACTGAATATAGAGTTACATAGTGCTCTTATCTCTCCTTGATTTGTTTGTGTTGACCTTCCCTACCCTGGAGATAAATATCCAAGGTGGTGGGGCAGGCAGGAGAATGCATAGATCTTGAGTAGACGAAACTGCTTCTCTGGGGTTTTTCTAAGATAGCAGATCATCAGTTTCTGACTTTATGGCCTCAAAGAATCACACCTTTGCACTGAAGGAGAGGGTCCCTCCACCTCCTTGCCAGAAGAATTCATTCTTGATTTTCCTACATACAAGTGATGTGCACTTTTGAATGAGATGATTTATGGTCCAGCTGAAATTCATTTGGCTGTTAAGGTCTTACTGAAACCTTGCGCCAACACCAAATCTTTTCGAAAGCCCAACTCCTGCCCCATGCCTTTCCCTGCTTGCTGATGTATTATCTGTGTTGGAATCTGATGAGATTTATCCATAATTTATCAAGTAGTATCATTATTAATATGTTGTCTTAGAAATTCCCTTGAATGCAGCCAGTGGTTGCACTATTGCTGTTTGTATGCAGATACTCAACAAGAGGTTGCAGTGACAAGAAATCATTCATAATTCAGAAATATACTGCTCTGAGATAATAGTTCTTCTGAAATGTAATCGTGAGAGAGATAAATATCAGATAGGTATAAAACATACATAATAACATCATTAGAATAGGACCAAGCCTGGACTGTGAATGGAGAGGAGGCAAGGCGGAGAGGGAGCCTGAAGCCCAAGGGCCATCTAGCAAATTAATTAAAACATCACCATGGCTTACCAAGGACCAGGAAACTAAGGCCCAAAGGGGAGCTATTGCCTGGCAAAGTAACACAGCTAGAACCAAAGACCCCAAATATCCAATTTATTCCATAGACATGAAAAGAAGAACTGGTCCTCTTCAGTACTTTATCATATAATGGAACCGAGCCCAGTAACAAGGACGCTGTGTGGCTGAGCTAAGGTAGCTTAAAGTTCTGGAAAGAGGATTAAACTGAAAGAGCGCAATTCTCTTTCCATCGCTGCCAACAGTGTGGCCGTGGGCAAATGATAGGTCTCCCCAGCCCCATTTCATCATCTGTGACTCAAGGGCATTGTGTCCAGGTGTCTCTAAAGGTCTCTGGAGCTGTAAGCTTCATTTTAGGAGAGTGGTTGGATATAGACATTGACTCTCTGTAGCTTGCACAGATATTAAATAACTCATACTCCTGTTCAGCCAAGGCTGAGAATATGTATCAGTGTGTGAACAGGTGTGAGACTAGTGCTGGGGTCCTGGCTACTAACAGCAGTGTCAAGCTGTGCCTGAAACCTAATCTCTATGGGCACTGAGGAGGACCGCTGGGAAGTCCTGACCACCCGTCCGGAGGACTCACCTGCGGTGCCTACATCAGCCCAGACTGTGGGGCTCTGAGAGTTTCCCCCGAAAAGCAGCTCACGGGCCGGTGTAGAAACATTAGCTGGCTGCTCACCAGGTGGTAAGAAGGTTACTGGGACAGGAGACAAAGAACGCCCAGGACGACTCTCGCATGGGGATTTCTATCTGCCTCTGATCCATCATGCTCCAGGGATCCACTTCAGTACCTCATGGTGCTTTTGGAGTTGGAAGTGGCCCAATTCCGAATGCTTTGAGCTGATTTATGCTGATTAGATCTGTAGCCCTTTGCCTTTCTACTGTTTTCTGTTTCTCTTCTTTCCCTTCTTTGTAGCCAATATAATTGCACAGCTACCAACCCCCAGCTCTCATACAACTGGCCCAACTCTGTTACTTCTGATTTCATGTAGCGGCTCCCCGATTGCTGAATGGGCCCAGAATAAAGGGACAGACAGAAGCCAGAGTGGTCAGCTCTCTCCCCACTTAATAATCTCAGTACAACTCTGGTGGAATCATTTCCTGGAGGTCATTTTAGTAAAAGGACCAAAATCTTGTCCTCTATAACTCTATGATTTCTCTTGTGAAATACAGAACACCCAAAAGATGGGAGAAGAGAAACAGAGGCAACTTTAGGATTATGACACCATCCTTAAACGGTTCCATGAACAGGATAAACTGCTGCCTGATTTTATCTTTATGTATGTGAACTTTTAATTGTTAGATGAAACCCAACGCCTCCTGGAATATTAACTACCCAGTGAATCCTTCCCCTGAAACACACAGTCCTCAGTTTCCCTCTAGCTTCCCTGGCCACTCACCTCTCTGTGTCCCATACTTCCTGGATCTCATAACTATCAAGAAAAAGGACTTCAACCTTATTCTTGAAGAGTATCACAAAGCTTCCTGAGGACTGTCCTCTATGGCTTTATCTCCTTTAATTGGCCTGGCTAAGAGGAACCTGGCTCACAGCAGCAGAACTGGACCTTCCCAACTACTGAATAGAGGGCAGATCCCTTCCATTGCACAGCCCTCCAGAGTGGAAAATGCGCACAACCCGTGGCAATGGGGCTGGCACAGGGGGACGTGAGTGGTGCAAGTCAGCCTCAAAGAAATGAAAAGCTCGAGGCTGAATAATCAAGTCCACGTCGCTAGAGAAGAAAACAGAGGGCAAAAGTCCAGACAACCTCAGCCGAAAATCCCACGAATATATCATGGTATGAAATAAAGTCACGAACCTGCCCCATCCAATCCGCAATCCCTTCTTCCATAAATGAGCCCCACCTCAATGACATTAAGTGCATCCAAACATCTTCACAAAGCACTAGAGATCACTTTTAGTGTTCCGAGGGCTTGTGCTGAATCAACAACGTCCCCGACTTCTCTGTGCTCTGGGAAGGGGGCAGGCATGCGGGAATGGCTGCCCGCGTGCTGGGAAACTTTACTAATGCCAAGAAATGAAATCTTCCCAGCCTTTGAAAGGCCTCCAAGAATGTCAGCACGTACCTCCTGCCCACTCTCTGCTGAATGCCTACTTTGGCTGTCTGCTTAGTACTGAATGTGCCAGACAGGCCTTCATACAAAGACGGAGAGTGTGTTGGACCCATGAAAGGGGAAGGCACAGCTTTTCCAATGTGAATGGCGAGATTCAAGAAGTAGGTGACGAAAGGGGAGGGCGAGGAGGGGCCCTCAGGAAAGGTATGCAGAAAAGACCGAAAGAGAAGAGTTGGCATCCTCCTATGTGTTAATAAATTCATTGTCAAAGCTGAAGATGTAGATGACTGCCGGCCTGTGCTCCATGCTTGATGGCATGTCTGTATGCCTTGCTTGTAGATTCCCTCTGGATCCGAGGCTCCTGTCATCCGAGAACAAGAATTTCTAAGCCCTGCCAAGGCATATATATATGGACTTCTGTTGATTTTTCAACTCCAAATATAAATGCTATTTGTACTGTGTTATTTGGGATTTTTCTTTTACTCTTTTCACCTCCAGTATAGAACAATATTGAGAAATATTCATTGTTGTACATCTGAATATCTCAGGATTGTTTTTTTCCTTAAGCTCACTTTAAAAAAGGAAGAAAAACATTTTGAATAGTGAACCATGCTCTAACTCTGTAACAGTGCTACTCATAATTCCTTGGCACGGCATCTCCTGCTAGAGGAAAGAACTCTTCTGGTGTTTTGAGCTTTTCCAAGGAGGCAGCCTGATGTCACTGGTGGCAGATGCAGTGTGTATGTATCTGTCTTTTGTCTGCACCATCTGTTTTTCTCCTTACAGTCTCTTGTTCAGATTTATGCTTCTCTCTTTCCAGGAAGTGTGCCTTTCCATAAGAGCACAGGCCTTAGGTGCTAAAGGGATTGACCCAATATTCTAACACGGTTTCCTTCTCTTCCTTCTTTCCTAGAATCTTATGGCAAGGGCCTTATATGACAATGTCCCAGAGTGTGCCGAGGAACTGGCCTTTCGCAAGGGAGACATCCTGACCGTCATAGAGCAGAACACAGGGGGACTGGAAGGATGGTGGCTGTGCTCCTTACATGGTCGACAAGGCATTGTCCCAGGCAACCGGGTGAAGCTTCTGATTGGTCCTGTGCAGGAGACCACCTCCAGTCACGACCAGCCTGCCTCTGGACTGATGCAGCAGACCTTTGGCCAACAGAAGCTCTATCAAGTGCCAAACCCACAGGCTGCTCCCCGAGACACCATCTACCAAGTGCCACCTTCCTACCAAAATCAGGGAATTTACCAAGTCCCCACTGGCCATGGCACCCAAGAACAAGAGGTATATCAGGTGCCACCATCAGTGCAGAGAAGCATTGGGGGAACCAGTGGGCCCCACGTGGGTAAAAAGGTGAGTAAGTGACTAACTAAATCTTTGTGCCTACTTATTTTTTTTCCCCATTGCACTTGGAGCATTTGGAAATGTTCCCAAAATAATAACTTGAAGCTGCCAAGAAGTAGATATAACCAATACCTTAGCTCAGGTATCATGTATGCATGATTTTGCCATTCATCCATTATTCAGCAAAACCTCTTTGAACTACCACGTGCTGAGTATGGTTGATTTCCAGCCCTCTTAAGTTCCTGTGTCATCCTGGGTTACATGGGTTGTTAAACTGTTTCTCTCCATCTTTCTCATACATTAGCTTCTAAGCCTTCATTCTGTGCTCAAATAGTTTCCTATCTTTTCTGTTTCTTCATGGAGTGGAACAGACACCAAATCTCGTACAAGCCTGATGATGCAACAAGGATCCTCCCTTGGCCAAAAGCTGAATCATGACCTCGGTGGCCTGGCTGAACAAGGAACCCACCCAAAGTAGTGAGAGTGAGGAAACTGGGAGTAGGTCATGCTGACCAACTCATTCTGTAGAGTTGTCAGCTTAGTTTGACTCATTTAAAATGCATAGATACTAGTGGAATTGGAATGAAGCCATCCTCCTGTCCTTCAAGTCATTCTTATAATAATGCCTGAGGCAGTGGGTGAAAACAGTGGAACTTGGATATTTAAGAAGATATTAATTTAAAAATACAGTGTGGGGGGCTCTGCAACACCCTGTATAATCCCAAATACTTTAGCAATTTGAGGTCAATAGAAATTCACTAATTGAACAATGAATGTTGAGCATCTAATATATTTTTGAAGCTTGTGACACAGTGATTAATTAAAGATAAACAAAGCCCTGGTGATGCTTACATTGCCGTGGGGGAGACGGAAGCAACCAAGAGAATGCTAGGTGGGGACACGTGCTATCAGGAAAATAATGCCAGTGGACTGATCGGGGTAATATCCACAACCAAGATGATGCTTATGTGAACATCACAAGGGAGGGATTTCCTCTTTCATTTACTGGCAAATTCCAATGGGTCCTGCAAGGTTTGGTATTAGGAATGAACCAATTTAACTGGTTAAGAAGATATCCCTGAATTATAAGAGGAAAGATGCAATTACATAACCAGAAAGAGCTTGTTGACCCTTAGAACACTAGCTATAGATCTGCCCTGTCCCAAGTAAATCGAATATGAAGTCTGATCTTACAAACCTCTGTAAATTAGGGAGTATCTATTTGATGCTATTAGAATCCTCGGTTGAAAAAACAAAGGATTCCTTTAAACAACGAAAGCACGAATGCATTTTTGGGTACATGGAGAGAGGCAGCCTAGAGACCCAGGATCAGGATAGTGCCGAAAGCCCTCGGTGTTTGGCAGGGGATGTGCCAGGGCCACCCTCCTGCCCTCCCCATCCTGGCCATGTCACCACCCCAGACCCTGACTGTGCAGGTGGATTCCTTTAAACAACAAAAGCACTAATGCGTTTTTGAATCACCTTTTATATAAAAAGCATGTTTTACAAAATACTTCTCAAGAGCACACATGTGGCATGAGCTGAGTGTATGTTCCTTAAGAGGGATTCCTCAAGGGTGGTGCACAGCTTTTAGACTTGTACTCCCCATGACAACGATGCCTGCCTAGAGGTGATAAACTGACCTGTGGCTTTTCAGTCTTCCTTGTCCTGGGAATTGTAGATTCAAAGGGAAAACGAAACCTGGCCTCTATCTCCAGAGGGGAAAAAAACAGTTGAAAGGTGTAACTATAAATAAATAACTTCTCTCATTCTTAGTCCTGGTTGTTTGCACCTTAAAAATAGCTCTCCCACATCTGAGCCAGTGAGGCAGATGGGGAGGCCAGAACAGGAAATGCTTGGCGGAGAGGTGGTGGGCTCTAAACTTTCATCACGATTGACTTTGGTAGGAAGGTAGCATGTTTTCCTTTTTAGACCCAACCTTTTCAGCTCCAAGTGGGAGAAGCCTAAGCCTTCAGACTTCTTCCCCTTGTGTTTGCTGGGACTGCCCTGCAGGCTTTCCCCCATGGCTCCCTGTCCTTCCAGAGGGCAGAAATTTGGACTCATCTTCCCTTGGATTGATGTCAAAGGGCTTGGGTGCTGGGGTGACCCTCAGGCACTCACATTCCATGTTTTGTTTTACTTTAAGTCTACACTCAGTAGAACATTTTCTGTTTAGCAAAAGGTAGATGAGTCCTGCAGGAGGAAATCAGCTTCTGAAAATGCCCTGTGCCAGCCCTTCCAGGAGTTGCAGCCAGGGCTGAAGAGTAGGTCATGCCTGAAACATCGTACAGTCAGGGTCTGGGGTAGTGACATGGCCAGGATGGGGAGGGCAAGAGGGTGGCCCTGGCACCTTCCCTGCCAAATACCAAGGGCTTCTCCACAGTATCCTGATCCTGGGTCTCTAGGCTGCCTCTCTCCATGTACCCTAGACCAGTGGTTCACACCCGTGGGAGTGTGGTTGCCTCTTCCTTTCTTTTCACTCCCTTCCTCACTTCTCTTCTCTCTCTCTCTCTCTCTTCCCCTCGCCGTCCTTCCCTCCTTCCCTCTTCCTTCTTTCCTCCTTTCCTCTGTTCCTTCCTTTCTTTCATAGTGGAGATGGCTTATCTGCTAGGAGGTGATTTTAGCCTTCCTGGCAATTGCAACTGCTTTAGAAAACATCTGTCAACATCTTCCTGGGTATAGGATATTCTCAGTGGGTGGGAATCGTTTTAATGACTTAAGCCTAGGCCCTAAGCGATAATCCCAGCGCACTGGGGATCAGGCGTGGCTTATTCATTTTTCTGAGTTTGCATTTTAGCAGTTTTACTGACTTGCTTAATGAAGCAATTTGCTCATTTTCTCTTTAAATTTTTCATCTGTAAGATAATGGTGAGCCCAGAACTAGATATGCTTGATAGTTTAAGCTATGGTCTTTAAAAGCTCTTGATAATAAAATGAGAAGGCAGTGGAATCTTATTCTGAACCACCAGGGTGGGGTTTAAAAATGTTAATGGGCATAGAATCACCCCTAGAGGTAGGGACAGTGAGTTTAAATGCAGATTCCCAGGTCTTTCCCTCAGAGAAGCTAATCCAGTAGGTCTGGTTTGGGGCCCAGGAATCTGCATCTTATTGAGCTCCTTGCATAGTTTTGGGGGTGGTGGCCTAGGACTAGATCTCGAGAAACATTGTAAAGGGACCATGAAGGAGCTGGGACATGTTCCAATCTGATTATGATTTGGGACTTTCCATAGTTCAAAATTCCCTTGATATTGCTACAGACTGTGGGCTTCAGAAGTTTTATCCAGCACTGCTTTGTTCTACTAATGAATCACTTAAGGAAAAAAACAAACAAACAAACAAACAAAAGAGACAGTGAATTCTGCCTTCTATTACTTCAACTTTGCTCTTGGAAAGTCCAACCTCTATCCACCCTCTTTTATCTCCTCCACACTAACTGACATTCATCACTTATTAAATCAGCATTTAGAGAAAGAAATATGTCATAAAATCCCCACCCTTTTAGGAAACAAGCAGACAGTATGAGAACTGTGGAGAGAGTAAGGCCTTCAGGGTTCAGCTGATGCCGGGTTGTTTCTCCATAGCTGTATATCCTTTGGTAAGTTACCGACCATCTCTAAGCCTTGGTTTCTTCATCTGTTTTATGGGAACGATCCTAACTACTTCATAGGGCTGTCATGAGAATTAAATGGAAGTATACATAGAAGGTCCCTGACTCAGTGCTTAGCATGGCAGGGACTTAAAAGAATGCATTCCCCTCACCTTGCGTTTCCTTTCTCAGAGTTTATTTTCTACTACATCAGCCCTGTTGTGTTTCTTACTACACACCGAAGGTACAAGTGCTTTCTTGCTAACACATATGCTGTGCTTTTTGAGTGTGTGGCTTTCTCTTTGGTTCTACAAGAATTCTGCAAAGCATGGAAAAAAAACTCTCCAAGTTATCTGAAAACCATATACGCTGACACCTTTACTTAATTTCATTGGTCGTTTTCACTCTGGGTTTTATGCACAGGGCCGTTTTATCCATTAGGCATTGTAGGCAACATGCCCGGTGCCTATAAGAATGTTTGAGAGCTGAATAAAAGATCTTTTGGCTCCAAAATATGAAACACAAAAACTGCAAAACAGAAACTAATAAACATTTAGGCCAATGTCTAGGAAACCATATCATGTCTACCCCATTAATTGTTCTATGTAGGGCTCATAACTATTTCATCATATTAGAAAATAATATGTAGGTTATATTTTTCTCACTTTGCAAAGATTTCTAAATATGCATCGTGATTGCCAAGAACCCATAGGCAATCATAAATTAAATGAGTTACTCATAGTCAAATAATTTGAAAAGCTGAATTATAAAAGAAGAAAAAAGTTTTCAATTTTTAACAGCAAAAGTTCTACTTAATATGGGATTATGGTTTGGGGTAAATGAAACCTACAAATGTTCAAAACCAAAAGCCTAAAAAGATCTAAAATCGTCTCATTTCTCTGCTTCAAAGATCAGTGAAATTGTCACCTGAGCTCATTCATTTCACAGTTGATCTGCATGGGAAATTATGTGTGCTTCTCTGATTATTCTTTGGATGTGTCGCTTTTATTCTAACTGCTGGAACTATTTGTTGTACCTCTTTCTGAAGATCTGTTTGGGGCTAAATTACAAGCTCCATCAACGCAGGGGCCATGGCTGCCTCCTGACTGCTTATAGGCTAAGCACTTGGTAGAGCATCAGCCCACAGATAGCAGCCCAGTGAACCAATGAACAAGGTGGAAGCGAGAATCAAAGTGTTAAATTAGAGTTAACCTTTAATTAACTGAAAGGTGGTTCTGATCTTATCACACATCCACCCTCACACGCTGCTGCTCCAATCCCATGGTCCAGCTTATTACCATCTGGTATGAGAGGTGTCAGATTATATACAGTCACTTCCCTCGCTGAAGGACCTTTCAGAATGTCACTGCCTGTGTGCTCTAAGCGTAATTAATCATACACAATAAATGAGTACCTTGAAGCAAAGCATGAGTGATATAAAGTTGGGCTTATCTGAGAGTTTAACTTCTGTGCATTTTGCCCACTTTAGACAAGATTAGTTAACTCCTCTGTGGTCACCTAAGGAGGAAAACTAGCCTTTTTTTTTTTTTTTTTTTTTTGAATCAGGGTCATATATATTTCTACATCTCTGGTAGGCCTTCTTTTTCTTTTTTTAATGAAGGGGACTTTTATTTATTTATTTATTTTTGAATCAGGGTCTCGCTCTGTTACCCAGGCTGAAGTGCGGTGGCGCCATCTTGGCTTACTGCAACTTCCGGCTCCTGGGTTCAAGCGATTCTCATGCCTCAGCCTGCTATCTGGGACTACAGGCATGCGCTACCAAGCCTGGCTAATTTTTGCGCTTTTAGTAGAGATGGGGTTTTGCCCCGTTGGCCAGGCTGTTCTTGAACTCCTGGCCTCAAGTGATATGCCTGCTTCAGGTTCCCAGAGTGCTGGGACTAATAGGCATAAGCCACTGTGCCCGGCCTGACTTTTTCCTCTGAGGAGCAGAACTTCCTTTCCATATGTTATGATTTACCTAGAATGCCTTTCCCGTCTATTCTCCCAGTGAACTCCTATCCATTCTTTAAAACCCACTCCAAGGTTCATCCCCTTCATGAAGCTTCCTCTCTGCAACCCAGCAGTTTCTCCCTTCTCTATGGTCCCAGAATACGTTGTATATTTCACTGATCTCAAGGGCTCCTTAAAAATGGAATGGTCTGCCATAGCAATGCGTGTGATGGTCTAGACTGGGGTAAGTATTGCTTTGAGGTGGCACTTGGAAAACTCAAGTAATATTCAGATTTACCAAGATCATATGACATCATCTTTAAGGACCATTTTCTACCTTCCAAAATGGGTCACAGCCAAATGTTGGCAGGAAATGATTCAAAGGTTTTAGCCAGGTCTTCCAGGCTCATTCCTGAAAGGTAATGTAAGAAACAGAAATAGATTAGCTACAATGTTTGTACCTTCCTAGACACTGAGTCATCACAAATTACACACATACACGTACATACACATACACACACACACACACACACGCAGACACCCATAAGCTGTTGGCTAAGGAACAAGGACTTCCCTTATTGGAATTTGAGGCATTGTGAAATCTGGTTGCCCAGAGTGTCACTCAGATACTAGCCAACTAAGTACTATATATTAGCAGCATGACTTGTCTAACAACAAGCAAAAAATAGGTTTAGAGGAAATGAAAGCTTCCAGAAAAGTTAAACTCTGACTTCACCTCACTTTCTCCTATTCCCTGCCTATACACACACAAAATACACACACACCCAAAAAAATACTTCTAGGGCAGAGGGTACTTCAGTTTCTTCATTTATAAATCAGTAAAATACAACTATGTTCCAGAATTGTACGTTTCTACATAAAGATAATCCTAATTTAAATGAATTGTTTGCCTCGATACATGGTTTTCGGGGCTATGCAGAGAACTGAACTTGCCATCTAAAATGTCACCCCTGAAGTTTCAAGATACATTTTAATACTACACAAAACTGGAGGTCGTTCAGCACTTGAAGGGCAGGACTTTATGAGCTCACTTTGAAAATGAGAAGTATCTTTTCTCAGACAAGTCACCAAAGCCAAAGCAATGAGCAAACTGTAACACCCCTCCTTAAAAATTAACAAAGGTCCTTTTTGTTTGGCCAGTGCCAAAGCCTTCAAACTCAGTTGCACTTCGTTCTAAAGTTTATAGATAATGCATATTTCTAAGAGTGCATTAGTAACTTCTTATAAACCCACACCAAAGCAAACAGAAGTTAACCCTCCTTTTTCAATGATTTCATGCTAAGTGACTGTGCTTATCACAGTGAAGAGGTAAGAGACTGCTTTAATATGACGTCTGGCTAAGTAGGAGAACACTGTATTTGTGAGAGAGAGAGAGAACAGAATAAATTTATTTATTTAATTTCATGATAAAACAAACAATATTGGTTGAACACATCTTTTTTTGAGACAAAGTTTCACTCTTGTTGTCCAGGCTGGAGTGCAATGGTGCAATCTCGGCTCACTGCAACTTCTGCCTCCCGGGTTCAAGTGATTCTCCTGTCTCAGCCTCCTGAGTAGCTGGGATTACAGGTGCCCACCACCATGCCGGCTAATTTTTGTATTTTTAGTAGAGATGGGGTTTCATCATATTGGTCAGGCTGGTCTTGAACTCCTGACCTCAGGTGATCTGCCCACGTTGGCCTCCCAAAGTGCTGGGATTACAGACATGAGCCACCGCGCCAGGCCTGGTTGTACAAATCTTTAAAAAAAGACTTGCTTGAATACATCATGCAAAATGCAGAACTAGAAACGGTCAGCAATCAAAAGCACTTCATTCTAACTAACTGTGCCTTAAACGTTGTCAAGATAACTTCTAGAGAGACGTGCTGCTCCTGTTTAAAGTGTGTCAGTGCCACTCACATAGGACAATGTGTGTTCCTCAAAAGTCGGATGTAGGCCGGGCGCAGTGGCGCATGCCTGTAATTCCAGCACTTTGGAAGGCCGAGGTGGGTGGATCACCCGAGGTCAGGAGTTCGCAACCAGCCTGACCAATATCATGAAACCCCGTCTCCACTAAATACAAAAAAATTAGCCGGGCATGGTGGTGCATGCCTGTTAATCCAAGTTACTTGGGAAGCTGAGACAGGAGAATCTCTTGTACCTGGGAGGCAGAGGTTGCAGTGAGCTGAGATCACGCCATTGCACTCCAGCCTGGGCAGCAAGAGCAAAACTCCTTCTCAAAAAAAAAAAAAAAAAAAAAAAGTAGGATGTAACTCCAGTAACATTTGAAGAGTACCAAGGAGTCCTCTCTTTAAAGGGATTCCATAGTATATCAGTTTTTTGAAGCAAAGAAGCCTTTAGCAATGCCACAATCACCTCTGATTTATTTGATTAATTTTTGTAATACTTGGTTTTCTTAAAGCATGGCACACTTAAACCAGTTATTTACTGGATGAGTTTTTGTTTTCAAAGTCACCACCAATTGAATGTGCAGCCTTCACTGGTGTCATTACCCCATGCTTCCATCTCATTTTGCAAGATAGTGTTAGAACCAGAGTGGGGGTGACCCCAAGGCAGCTCGAGCCTTGGCTCCATATCAGGGATCCTAGAGAGGTACTCCCACCTGATCCTCTCCACAGCCTGGTGAGGTGCACCTCGCAGCGTTCACTGTTCAGAGGAGGGAACTGAGGTCTGAGAAGGAAATTCACTTGCTGAAGTTAACTTGCTGCCTCCAGTGAGAGGAGTGATATTTGAGCCCACGTCTGTCTGACTCCAATGCTAATGATTTTTACATCCCGGCTGAAGGATGATGTTGCCAGGCCCTTAAAGAAGAAGGCGTATTTGGACACCTCATTAGCAATTTGGGTGCTAAATCATACCCTGTTGGCAGGATGAATTAAAGTTGCTGCCCAGGGCTCCCACCTCAGGTCCAGGGAGTAGCCTCAATGCTGAGGGAATCTGAATTAAGGAGCATGGAAGTTCCTCCCACCCAGCTGTAGTGGGCAGCTTCAGAGTGGGCTGATCCAGGAGTCCCGAGCAGGTCACTAGGGTGATGTCTAGACTCCAGTACCACTTGAGAACGTTGCTATGTTGGCTTTCTCTGCCACATGGAAAGACTGTCTTTTCTTTTTTTTTCTTTTTGAGACAGAGCCTCGCTCTGTTGCCCAGGCTGAAGTGCAGTGGCGCAATCTCGGCTCACCACAACCTCCACCTCCTGGGTTCAAGTGATTCTCTTGCCTTAGCCTCCCGAGTAGCTGGGACTATGGATGTGCACCACCATGCCTGGCTAATTTTTATATTTTTATTAGAGATGAAGTTTCACCACGTTGGCCAGGCTGGTCTCGAACTCCTGACCTCGTGATCTACCCACGTCGGCCTCCCAAAGTGCTGGGATTATAGGCGTGAGCCACCACGCCTGGCCTAAGATTATCTTTCCAAATGACTTCAAATTCCTCCAAATGGGTAACTTCATTTAACCAGGTGGGGGCACCTCCCAAAACACAAGTTACCCAGTTTTCAAGTTGTGGCTGTCATATAAGGAAGTAACTTTTTTAAAGAGAATTTACTTGTGAAATTAGGAAAGTAGTAGATTTCTGGAAAATGTCTAACATGTATTGCTAGTGTAGGCCGCAGGGCATTGAGAAAGGTATACCGCTGCACTGCTGGCCCAGCTAACCAACGGTCTCCTTCACTTCCCTATCATTAATAGCCTGAGTAACTAACTCCACTTGAGTTCCCTCAACTGTGAAATGGCAAGTAACGCTCGATTATCTCTAATGATCTTTGCTAAAATTTTATGATGCAGATATCCTTATCTGACTCTTTCTCAGAATCACTTTAACAGTTTAATAAAAATGGCCTGACATCAAGAGTCTTTTTTTTTTTTAAAGAAAAGATACTCAAGCATTGATTATAAATTTCAACTTGACCCTTAAGTTTTTGCAGATTTTTCCCACTCTCCCTTTAGGATCCAGCCCACCATCCCATCCAGAACCACAGTGCACTTTGGAAGACAGAGCTGTGTCAAAAGACAGCAGGAGCAGGCAGGGACACAAGGAGGCAGGGGCTGGAGTGTGCTGAGCCAGTGAGAATCAGTCTTTGACAGACCCAGGTCTTGTACCCAAAAAACCTTCCAGAGTTCCCCACTAAGGAGCACCCTCATCCCTGTTTTGTTACCAAGAGCTAAGAAAGCACTTCATCCTGGAACTCATTGTTTTCTGCCCATTTCCCCCTATTTAATCCTACTGGATTTTGCAGAAGACATTTTAGGCCTGGTGTCTCTGGACACGACAACCACCTTCAGAGCAGGCACCGAGTTCTGCCTCGTGAGTGGTTGGCCTCATCAGCTACTGCCTCTCTTCTTCCAGCGAAACCATGAGAGTTCTCCTATTTAGGAGGAAATGATACCAATCGGCATTTGGATCCCAAAATTCTCATCTCTCACCTCCTCTCCGTAGTCCCATTCCCCTTAGGGCAGTCTGTGGGCATCTGTCTAAAATCCATTTCCCAGTGTAGATGTAGTGCTCAGTGTCCTGTTGAATTTATTTGGACATCAGAAGAGCCAAAATACCTGTGCTTTTTTATAGTTTTCATTCAAAGAACGTTTCAGTCCATGAGACAGAAAAAAAAAAAAATGGCTTTGCTGTATCCAGCTTGTCACAGGCTTGTATTTGGCATTGTTCTGAGAAAGACCTCAACCACTTGTGAAACCCAGACGTCATTTCCCGTTGTGTTCTTTCATGTTAAATGCTCCTAGCTGCTCACTGGTGCTTGGTCACTCTATAACTAAATATTGCTTTAGCACTTGCTACACAAAGAGCTTCCTGAAAGCAGCAGGGGAGACATGCTAGGGGCTTAACAATCGGGGCACTGTTTCCATTGAGCGGGTTTGCTGCCCAATGCTGCGTCAAATGAAAGTGACCCAAGAGCGCCACTGCTCCACTTCTGAGCGTCCAGTTGTGACTGTTTCCTCGCTGGGGAAAGAAGCTGGCTGTGATTTAGATGTGGCTAGCAAAAGGTTTGCTTCTGGCATAAAATCAGGCATCAGAACGACTTCGAAAGAAAGTAAATCACCTCCCCAAAATACATGGGAAAAAAACTTCATGAGCACAAGGGAAGCATTTGGAAAGGTTAACCACGGACACAGCTTACGAGGGTATATTTGTAAGGCCAGACTCAGTTTTCATTATATTGTTGCTATGCAAGTAAATAAATGAGCTCACTGCTACACCCAAGCTGGGCAGAACAAATTTACAGAGAATTAATAAATCCAGGGTAGGCAACATGTGGCTTTTCCTCTGGTCATAGAAAAGCAACTAGTACTCTTGGATTTGAAACAGGCAAACCTCTGTAGCTTTAGTTTCTGAAAACTGGATCCCAGTTCTTATGGGCAGGCAGTGATAATGGTAATGTTTCTTTTCCTCGGGTTTTCTTTAAAGGGAAGGGATCAAATAGTTCATTTAAGAGAAAGAGGTTATTATAAAGTCTAATAAATACTGTGATAGCTCTGTTAATCCTTTTCAAGGGCATTTAAGTGAAAGAAGTCCTTTCCAACAGGCAGTTTTGGAAAGCTAAACACTCTTGTTAATTCATGAAACACAAAGAGAGATAATATAAATAAATCAGGGGCTGGGGAGGAATTAGAGATAGACAGGAAGCAGTCAAATTTTACTTCGCACATATGCCAAGAAAAGTGCAAATACATGGCTGTTAATCAGTAAAACATACTTTTAAATTCAGAGAATCATAGGTACTATGAATGGTGAGGTTATAAATCTGTAATCATTATGGCACATGGACACTTTTTAACTTCTCACCAATTACCCATTGTTATTTCCTGAGCACCTCCTGGGTTACCTAGCTCCTCACTAGGCCTTAGGGAAGGACACAGAAGCTGATTCCACACATTACTGCTCTACTAAATTCATGGGTAAACTCCACTGGCCAATAATCAAGGCATTATCTATATTGGAGGCAAACAATTGCACAATTCAGGCTATTTGTAATGTTGCTTTGAATTGTAGAGACTTAGAGAATCATGGGACATAGACTCTAGAACAGGTCTGTGTCCCATCATTCTCTTAGAAGAAAACCTTTCAAGTACTATTTCTTATTGTTTTTTAAAATCTTGTTAAAATGGCAAAATTTATATATTTTTATAATTTTTAAATTTTTGATGCATACAAAGATAGATACAGATAGATAGATAATGTAGAAGTATAAATAATATTAAGTCACTAGAGCATGATCAACTAGCGAAGTTACCCAGTCTTCTCTCCATCCCATCTCTCTGTCTCTCATCCACTCCACCCAATTCTTCCTTTCAAAGAGTAGGATTTTTCTGCTTCATTTTTTTACTGCTTTGTTCTTACTTAGGGTTGCCGGAAGCACATGGAAGGAGGGAAAAAGTTAAAACAAGGCAGTGTTGGGAGGGGAGCGATGAGAAGTCATGATAAGTAGGTGGGTGACCCACAGGGCTGGCATCAGAAGGAAACATAGCAAAACATGGTGGATATGAGGATTGCTGTGGGGAGAAGGATTGGCCTTTGTGAGTGACAGCCGTCTGCTCCCTTCCCACTTCCCTTAGTGCTCCATTGAGCTAGCAGCACGTAGCTGAGAAGTTGAAGTTCTCCTGACCACATGGCCTTTGCTGCCACTGCTCTGCCCCATCCCAGGCACCTAGCCAGCTCTGCATTAAGGAGGTGAAGTGGATGCCCAAGGAAAGAAGTGCCCCCAAGGAGACTTGCTGAGACCTTGAACAAGTGACACAATGTGAGCAGAAGTTGTCTTGATAGAAAATGCTTTGTTTCGAGGCATTCCAGAGAGATGGGCAAGTGTCCTACTTCTTGGCAAGATCCTCTAAACAAACCCAGCTTGTGAACCTCCCCTGAAAAGATCTCATCTGGTGAGCATTTTAATAAAGTGTCCTGAGTTTGGAGCCTTGCCATCTTTCTCTTGGATAAATATCTTTATCTCCTAGACTTGGAAAAACACATTTTCTCCTAGGGTTTCCCATTGGTGCGTCTTGAGCTGCTCTGGTGATAACCGTAATAATGCCAATACTGATATGAACAGCAGAAAACAGTAACCCAAAGAACTCTACAGATGATCATCAAGGACCACTGTTTCTTACCCATTTGCTGCTTCGGTTTGAAATTCTCACGGCCTCTTAGATCTCACTTTGAGCACTATACATTCCTAAAGATTAATTTCTTTCTATCTGACTTAAATTTAGGAATGATTAAAACATGATTAATGTTTTCTCCCATGATTTGATCATAAAACATTTTGAAAGGAAACAGCCTTGAGATCTGTGATTACTAAGACATACATAACATTCTTGTCGCATTAGAAAGCAAGAATGGACTGTTGCTTGCCTTGTTCCTCTTGTCTTGTCCCCTGAATTCCTGTTCATCTTTGATTGTATGTGGGACATCGCATTTTTAATACATTTGTAGAAATAATGTGAAGCCTATAAAGACGTTTTCTGCCTCCAGAGAGAATTTTCTTTCCTTCTGCCAGCCTCATAGGCAAGCATCCCTCTGATTCCATGCTTTGAGATGTTCTGGCAACCCTGACGTCTTCAGCCTGTGCAAGGGTGGGTTTACTTCCACTTAATCCTTATTTTGGATACAGTCCTTAGGGTTCCAACCCAAAGTCGGGGGTGGTTTGGGGTCCCTACTTTGGTGAGCCCTGTAGTTCAATGTTCCCCCTTACCCAAAGCAGCTGTAGAAAACCCAACACAGTCTCCCGGGCACCTGTTTCAGATCAGCAAAAAATAGCACATGCCCCCAAGGAAAAGCAATCTAACCTCTATTAATTCTTCTCCCAAAGTTTGACCTAGTCATTATCCTTTAACTCTTGACACTATTAAGGAGATCTTTTCTAGCTTTTCTTCATTTTTCTAAATTGTCTTCAGCAAGATGGTTAATTCAATTATCTAGTTCATGATTTCTGGAAGTCAAAGTCGAAAGGTAAAATCTATATAGCCTAGGTGACAATTACAATAACAACAGCTAAGGCTTATTATGGCTTTATGCCAGGTACTTTATGTACTTGATCTCATTTAATACTCATATAGCCTGTGAGGGAAGTATAATTTCTATTTTACTTATGAGAAAATAGGCTTAGAATGGAACCTTGGTTCTCATAGCTTGCGAGTGGTAGAACCGGGATTTAGATCCAGCTCTGCCTGAGTCCAGCTTCTGTTTATCAATCACTTCCCCCTTCAGACCTAATTCTTCCAATAAGCAACAGAAAAAGACCCAGTGAGGCCATGGCCTCTGGCACACAGCTTCTCATGAACGAGCCTATCACACATCCCCAGAACTAAAGCTAGCGTATGTTCCTTCTGATGTCAAGGTAAAAAGCAGGGTTTGTTTTGGTTTTTCTTTTCCAAAACACTCCCCCACATGTTTCTGGCTTGTGGTTAAGAAGAACCCAGGTGTTCATGTCACATACGAGCTCAACTGGGGAAAAGGAAACCATCCAGCAGCCCTCCTTGCCCTCCAGTAGTGGCTTCACCCAATCTGAGGTGCATTCTTCTACAGTTTCTGATTTCTCAACTTCACCTAACATTCCCTTGCCTTCTTGGCTCCCTCTCTTGCCCAATACTACCATGCATGGCTGATAGGGCACCGTTCTGCCCTGTATCCCATGGGTTCTACTTAACCCAGAGCTGGCTTACCTGGAAACCAAGCTTATTCTATATTGGCAGACCTCACGCCATCTTGCTTAAAAGCCTTCAGTTTTCCTTTGGTTGATTAATGTATCACTCAATAGAGTTATGCAAGATCTACTGTGCTGGACACTGTACTAGGCCCTGTGGTTTATATTTAAATGAAGAAGGAATGATCTTTGACTTTAAAATGCTGGAAGAAGAGATGAGATGCATCGAGACCGTCAAACCACAAGTGATTAAGTGCCATTAGAGATGTGTGGATCACTGGCTCAGGGAGTTCCAAGGACAGAGACATATTATCTGTTTGAGAAGGGCTTGATGGGGGAAAGACATTCAGCCAGGCCTTGAAAATCAATTCAAGTTTGAATATGAGGAAAGAAAGAAGAGCGTCTCAGACAAGGACACGGCATGGATGAAGACACGGAGGTGTGGGCGTGCAGGGCATCTGTGGAAATGGACAGCTCAGTTCTCGCTGAGGAAGGGAGTTGGTGCAGAGCATGGAGACCCTGCCTTCAGAGGATTTCCAAGAGGAAGGAGGGCAAAGATACACAGATGAAGGCAAAGACTGGCAGCCCAGAGGCCAAAGACATGTTTAGTTTGGCCAAGACACTGTTTTTAAAATTTAAGCCAATTTTGAAAACCAGGTTTCACATAAAATTCCAAATTTCTGGCTTCTCCTGAAAACATGAAAGATCTGGCAACACAAGGCACAACTGTCTTCCTCCTTTCGGTAGCAGGGGGTTCTGTCTCCCCAGCACCCAAGCCTGGCTTGTTTCTTCCCTACACCCTACTTGCTCGGTCCTCGAGCATCTGACTATAGGACCCTTGCTCTGCTATAGGTACCAGCTCAGGGAACACAGATGCAGAAACATCAGAAAGAACCCTAAGGGCCTCTCATCCAGCTTGCTGACTGTCATCATGTTGGTTCTCAGACCTCCCTATCTCTCTCTGCTACCCAAACACAGACCCTCTTCTTTAAAATTTCAGCACGCATGGCTTTCAAAATTATGAGGCATGGAAGTGTCAAAAGCATCTCCAAAAACTCATGCCGCCAGGATCTGAGACTCAAAACAGTGTGGATCAAACACCATCAAAGTGTGGGGCGGGGCAATCCGAGTTTGTTTTCTTGTTTTTATGTAAGCAGATTAATTAGAAAACTAACATAACGCCAGTCTTTGGGCTTTTGATCCTACCCTGCCGGGATCCAGACTTGGAGATGTATTAAATGGATTCTTCCTTTTCTAAATGTCTGCAATCTGCCCTTCTTGACTTCATAGCTCTTCTCAAAGTCTCTGTCTTGGACCCTCCCGTTAGTTACTGAGAATGGCATACTAATAGCTGAGAAAGGTTGAATTCCTCCTAGGGACAGAAAATCCACATATGGAAAGTGCAAATCCTGTGCCGAGTAATCACTAAAATAGTTGCAGTAGCTTTGGGTCATAGAGCCCTGGGAGACCTCACAATTTAGACCCCTTCCCGGCAACACTAATGAATTAAGAGGTCAGTTTGGTAATTCCAAAGGCTAAGCCTTTGTAACTATAAATAAATACATAGAATGAAAGGAATGTAGAAAAAAAAAAAAAAGCAAACAGAGGGGGAAAGGAAATGAAAACCTGACTTGATTTCATTGAGAAAATTAGTTTAAAAATGTCCTTTGTGTAGCAGTTCCTTTAATGCCTCACCGAACAAATGCCTAGGAGAATTCTTCCAAACTTGAGGTCCCCTTAACCAGACCTTGGCGTGCCTCTTAGACTGAAGTTCGGCAGTTCTGGGAGGTGGAACGAGGAGAGATCGTAGGAAGGTTTTTGTGTACTTATGTCAAGCAGCAAGAAAAAGCCTTAATGAACCACAAAACTGGAGACTTTGTAAGGTACAGCTCAGTCAGCACTTTTCCTCTGAGGAGAGAACACACAATTGGCATGAAAGTGACCCAAGCAACAGGTCGAGGCAGAGAATGTCCAAAAGTAGAATACTTCCAGCTCCCTGATCTTCCATACGTCACAATGCGGATTGCTGCACTGGACTTGTCTGACCAGATGCAAAATGCTGGTCCCATTTAAATGCCATTTGTGGACCAACGTGAATTAGATGGTAATGTTAGGAAGGCTGGAGGGGGGCAGGGGCTGCTGTATCTAGTTGGCTTTTTCCCCCTGTGGTTTTCACCATCTGTTTCTTTGAATGCATAAACAAGGAAAATGACTGGTTTGGAATGCAGAGTTTTAAAAAACCAGATGACCACAGGCATCCTCTAAATGAGAAAGAGAGAGCAAGTTGGGGTTCTGTGACATTTGTCAGGAAGTGAAATGTTAAATACCGGGAAGCATTAGCGCTCTCTGCCAGGGAAGATCCACAAAGGCAAGGAAACACTTTGGCGGTGACCCTGCCTTCCTTTTCTGAGGTCATGCTATGTGTTTATATGTCACGTAGTGCTATTTTCAGACACCAATGCCACCCACTCTAGCTCCCAGCCCCCTTCTGGGTTTTTTGTTTGTTTGTTTGTTTTGTTTTGTTTTGAGACAGTCTCTCTCTGTCACCCAGGCTGGAGTGCGGTGGCGCAATCTTGGCTTACTGCAAGCTCCACCTCCCAGGTTCATGCCATTCTCCTGCCTCAGCCTCCCCTACCGGCGCCCGCCACCACGCCCGGGTAATGTTGTGTATTTTTAGTAGAGACGGGGTTTCACCGTGTTAGCCAGGATGGTCTCAATCTCCTGACCTTGTGATCCATGCGCCTTGGACTCCCAAAGTGCTGGGATTACAGGTGTGAGCCAGCATACCTGGCCTGTTTGTTTGTTTGTTTATTGAGATGGAGTTTCACTCTTTTTGCACAGATCTGGAGTGTAGTGGCACGATCTCAGCTCACTGCAACGTCCGCCTCTTGGATTCAAGTGATTCTCCTGCCTCAGCCTCCCAAAGTGCTGGGATTACAGGCATGAGCCACTGCACCCGACATGCCCCCTTCTGTTTTTTAAACGAAAGAGGAACAGTTAAGTTGGACTTCAGCATAACCAGCCTTGGTTTTCCATTAGCATTATTGCTAAGTTGGCAACGTTGGATAAAATCCACTCTTGGAAACTTTTAAGCTGAACAAAAGCTGCACTATGAGCAGGTGCTATGATAAAGCCAAAACAGTCCTCTAAGTAGAGGGGCTGGTGAAATAGACTAAGGGGAGATCTTCATTTCTCTCCTGGACAATAGTGAGTATAAAAAAAAAATCATATAAGGGCATTAGGAACACAGTGTGTTTTTCTTTAGCAAAGGGCATCCTGCTTTAAAAAGGAAAGTTTGCTATGCACAATACAGTGGCCACTCTATAAAGTGGTTCTGTATGCTCCATGAGGTCCATGCCAACAGACCTCGAAGCAATAGGTTCCTTTTTTAAACCCAAGACAGTTGAGAGACTTAATGGAAATTTTGAGTGCATACTAATCTCCTTTACCTTCACTGCAAGAAATAATCAGTTGTAAGCACTAGGGATTTAAAGCCAAATTGAACTCAGGCATTTTTAGAGCCCCTGGGGAGAAGGGCATTGGTGCATTTGGCTGAGTTCCACCCATTTCAGCATAAGACGGACGTGGAGCATTTTTCACATAGTTTTGTAGGCAGCCTGACGCCAGAGTTTTCACTTCAGAGAAAGGATAACAAGTTGATGGTTTCTTAGGGAACAACCAACTCTTCCTAATTTGCAATGTCTGGTCTCCTCAAAGATGTCGTGGGCAATGCTTGACATGGGCACTGTTAATGACCTGACGGGTGGGGGTTAGGCAGAAACAAGACCCTGCGCATTTAGAAGCCCTTGGAGGATTACATATGTTTCCAAATGAGTTAAGTTCAAATAATTTTTTGCTGGTGCTTAGCACACCAATGAAATATGTAGATATGAAAAACAGGAGGCTGTTAGGTAAGATTCATTTTACTGGCACTGGTTCCAGATGCCAGCATCGTGATGAACGCTATTTGACTTCTGACATCCCTTGACGTAGGTACTGTTGGGGATGTTTTCTTTCCTGGTGGAAATGGGAAAATGATTAGAGACCAGAGGTCAGGCGATCTGAACTCTGTTCCCGGTGCCTCCCTGGCTCAGTATTTTGTTTGTTTGATAAGTTAGATCGAAAGCTCCCAGAGGTTTCTAAGGATAGCACAGTTGGAGCACTGGCTTTGTAAAAGTACTCTGGTGAGCTGTGGAATTACAGTTATAATCATCATCATAATGTCCAATGAAGAGGCATACTGAGGAAGGCATGAGAGGAATTTTAAGTGGCTGAACTCCATTTGCATTATTCATTTTACAAATCGTTTCAGAACCTTAAAGCAAATTTCAGTGTGCAGTACTTTACATGCAAAATGCTCCTGTAGGACTTTCATAAGTTACACGCAAGTATCCCTTAAAGTATATTTTAGAAATACGCTTACAGTGCATCAACTCTATCTGACGAACTCTGAGATGATCACAAGGAAGGGTGACAGAGATATTTTAGGGATATGTTTCTCATTGGGATTCAAGAGGGATTTAAAATTTTACTAACCTGGGCCAGACGCAGTGGCTCACGCCTATAATCCCTGCACTTTGGGAGGCCGAGGTGGGCAGATCACCTGAGGTCAGGAGTTCGAGACCAGCCTGACCAACATGGTGAAACCCCGTCTCTACTAAAAATACAAAAA